TTAATAAGTAAAGTTGTAAAGTTTATTTTACAATATAATTAGAAACGATCGATTAAATTTCCTCCACACCATTCGGTTCCACCAAAAACTAATGCAAATTTAATAAACTTAGATTAATTATAGTTATAAAAAAAAAAAATAAAATTTTCTACAATTAACCGAACACCGGTTAAAAGTGCCAATCTTTTACAAAACTTGCTCTCATAATTGCTGCAGGACTGATTCACATCCTCTGTACATGAGTGCTCGAGTAAAAATTTATCTCCTGAAGAATTGTGATCTTCCGAATTAAGGTGATGCCATCATCTCGCGTGAAGGTACAGTATTCAAACTTTGGTACATATCCAGGGGCAGCGTCGTTGACTGGAAGCACCACTAGTCAGTTTCAGTGAGCTTTCTAGTTCTCACTGGAATGGTCCAGCAACAACACTGCTTGGGAGTATTCGTATACCTATATTTGGACACAATTTATATGAAATTTAATTAGTGATGTGAGCTAATACGTAGCTACGATAGACATCTACCGCTGGTATCTACCGATAGATACCATTAGGTTAATGGTATGCAAAGGTAGATATCAGCAGTTACTAATAAGTTAGATTTTAAATAATTATAAACTTTATTATTAGATACTACTCATGTACTTAGCATCTACCAGTAGTGGTAACTACCGATAGAGCTATGGTCATTTCCATCGCTAAATGTAATAAATTAATATCTATATAGTCAAGAATTAGGATAAATAATATAATCATTAGGAATATTACTTTTATAAGCAGTTGCTAAATATTTGTATTTATCCATACTGTATACTGTATATAATTGCCATATTGTCATGTTATTAAGTTGATAATGAATTTGTCTTTATTTTTTTAAAAATATAATGAATATTTTTATGTTCATCACATTGCTAAATTGCTTTATCCTTCCTTCCTTTTCTTATTTGCTGCCGAGTTAATAATACTTTCATCAATGAAAATATGTTTTTGATAAAACTTTAATTCATTAATACTTTCTTTGATATCATCCAATGCCCTATGAGTAGTATTCTTGCTGGGTGCCGTCTCAAAAATACTAGGATACCATCTTCTACATAATTCTTTAATACTGCTAACGTCAATGATTCTATAATGTAACCAATCAATCACTTCGGGCATTTCCTTTTTCAAAAACATTTTGTCCGCATAAACACTGTTCCCCGCCAAAGGTGCGCATCCTTTTTGGGGAATATGTTTTTTCAAGAATTCTAGAATTTGAGTGGACGCATCCGATGTGGTAATCGTGGATGATAAGACTGCTGTCGTTAATCCTGACTATTGAATAATAAGAACATTATCATTGAACTTTGATATTATAGATTTCATTAAATAAATAGAACTTCAAAAAAAAAAGTTGATGAAATCGATATTAACCTCGCCGTGATGTTGTTTGCACCAATCATTCATTTTATCCATCGTTTCTTGTGATTGATTAATTACAAGAACTGGTCCCTTTGAATGTAAAAAATGTAATAAATGTGATACAATGATTATATGGGTTAAGTGTAGGAAAAAGGGACGAAATTGACAATTTTTTCAAAAGAAATTTTTTAAATAAATCAATTTAGAATAAGATTAGGATCATTTTTCACTTAAAACACAAAAGTAGTTATATTAATAAAATTTTGCAGTATAGCTCTCTAAGGTTTGTATTTTCTTATAATTTATTATAAAATTTATAATATAAAAATTGATTTTCCGAAGATCTTTTTTTTTTGTCGATTTCGTCCCTTTTCTTAGCACCTAGCCCATATGTTAATTGAGATGATTGAAATAAAAATACAATAATAAATGCGAACCTCTGCTAAGACATTCAATTTCCCATCAGTTATCAGGACGGCGATTTCAATAATATGATCATTCTCTACATCAAGTCCAGTCATCTATTGTATAAATTAAATAAGGTTAAATATTAACTAAAAATTATACATGTAATCTAAAACAAACATTCATCAACCTTTTAACTATAATTATTGTCGATAAACATACTTCACAATCTATCCAAACTAAAGGATCATTAGCCATTTGAGCAATACGTTTTGATCGTTTCTCCAAATATTCACGATAAGAACGAGATTTGTGACGAATTGTAATTGCAAATTTATTTAATTCTCGATTTAAATAATGATTCTTTACTTTGTTTGTTAAATAGAATGTATTTAAATTGGATATCACTTTATAGTGCGCAGAAAAGAGAAAACGCATTTGTATGTACGCATATGCAAACCAAAAATCTTGACTTATAAATTCAATGGAGCAAGACCTAAAATGTGTAACAGGTCGATCGACAAATTTTTTTTCTAATGCAGGTCGATGTCGGTCACCGGCCCAAATTAAAACTAAAGCCTGTCAAACTTGATTTACATTATCTCTGTTATTAACAATATTTTAAAGTGCTATGAATATGTCACTCGTTGTACTTTTCATGGTTAAAACATTAAGTGGATCACTACGTGCAAAATGTTAAAATATTTAAATTATTTTATTTTCTAAAAAATTATTCCTACTAAACATTATCATACAATAGTCTAGTTAAAACATAAAATGCGTTTAATTATCCTCATTACTTTATTGATTTGCGTATAATGGGGAGTCTTTTGCAATGGTGTATTCTTTTCCACCGACTGTGGCATTCCCTCCTTGAACTCCAAATGTCGTGGCGTTGCCAAAGTCTTCATCTACTCTTAAAGATGGCCAAGAAATTCCATTTGCTGTCATTTTAACAGTTGATTTGTTGTTATTTGATTGTATAAAAATAGTTTAAACTAACACATTGCTTAGTTTATACATATATTTTCTAATTTTGCCTACTTGCCTTTTTTCAATTTAATTTCGACTTTAGTTGAAAGGAACTCATACGTAGAATTTTCAGGTTCAATGTATTGATAAAGCGGAAAACCTTCTTTAAATCTTTTATTATCGGCTGTCTTTAAATCGATACTTAACTATAATGAAAATATAATTAAAAATTTTATAAAAAAAAAAAAAAACTCTTAATTCTTATCAAAATAAATGATTTCCTTATTTTACCTCTTTTTCTTTAAAACTGATGGTAGAATGTTCTTTATCGATTTTCTTACAAAATACAGACATAATGACATATGATGGGGTTTGATACCTGTGAAACGTAATGCATAATGAAATATTTGAATAGAAACAAATATGGAATTAAATGATGTTGACAATATACCAGTCATGTCTGCATTGTATAATTTCCTCCGTTTCCTGTTTGATTAAAAAATTAAAAAAAAAAAATGGTAAAAAGTATTATAATGACGAAAAATAATATGGATTACTAAACCAGAAAATTACATACCTCCTTTTTACTAGATCCGACAAATAAATGTTTACCCTTTTTACAACCTTTAATCTTTAAGAATTCCTCAAATTCCAATACCTTGCGTGAGCAACAACTCCAACCTAAAAATATGGTAATTAAGAAAAAGTCGAACCAATAAAGTATAGACCAAACACTAAATTCAAACTCATATTTACCTTTGCTACCTTCATGAAAGATCGGTGTACCAGAATGATAAACACATTCTGCTTGAGGCCCTTCATTACGACTAGTTGCATCATCTACATAAGGAATATTACAACCCGACCTTTTACAAACTGCTCCAGGAGTAACTGGAATACTAAGGTCATCCTCTTCCGGCTTCTCTTCTTGCGGAGTAGGTTTAGCCTTTTGAGGAGGATCTACAGGTTTTGTTTGTATTGGCGTGTAAGTTGGACCGCTATTATATATTTCAACTCCGTTTTGAACAATTATAGGTTCAGTCGAAGGTTTAGAAGGAACCGTTTCCGATTCTTTTGAAGTTTCATTTGATTCGGGTGGAGGTGGAACTTCATTACTGTGCCAACTAATTTAAACGTGTAACCCATGTAAAAATTGTTTACTAATTTATTTATCGGGACAAATCCGTATAAATTGATAAAATTGAATAGTAACCCTTTAGTACAGCCAGGAATAGCGAGAAATTCATCAAAAGAAGTAACTCTTCGACTACAACATTGCCACCCCTTTAATCCTAATGTAAAAAATAATTTTTATAGTGAGGATTTAAATTCATTTGATCTTTTGTTTATCGACTTCAATCGTCACAAACCTTCATGAAAAATTGGTGCGGATGGATGATAAAGACAGGCTGATTCATGATTATCCTTTTCATCATAAGTTTTTTCACAGCCTTTATGAACGCAAATCGGCATTTTTATTTTTTTTTATTTTTTTTATTTTTTTTTTAATCGATTTTAATTTCAAGTTAAGGATAAATGGACAGATTTAATTATTAATGTTTCGGATCATTTATAAAAGTAGAACAATGAAAAATTTCGGTAATGCAGGATATCAATTATAGTAAATAAATTTCTTCTAGCAAATTCTGGTAACTACTAAGAAATGCTTGATTTTCTATCTGAGTTACACAATTAGAGCAATGCATTATTTAACATGCATTAATAAATTATCTTTGATTTTTATATAAAGATAAACAAATTTTTTAGACTAATTTTTCGTGTTGCGATTTTCATCTTTTTCTTGCTTCGTCGGACTGATCCGGTTTGGTCAAATTTTACAGCTTGATTTGTAATTTTACCGTTGAAATTGTGGCCACTAATTAGACAAGTGTAAATATTACGTAGAATTATTGCAAACTTTATTTACTTGATGATCGATATTTAAATCATAAATAGCTAAAAACTATCAACGTAGAAGCACTGCATATACGTATACGTAACAAAATCTAATTTTATTGACTACAATTATTACAAATTAGCTCTCGATATAACGGATATTGATTAATACGGAGAATTATAATGGAACCAAATATAATTTACTGACATTTACTATAATATCTGATATATCATGAGATTTATATTATGGAGCTTTTGATATAACGGATCAAAGGACTGGAACCATGGCCTCCGTTATATCGAGAGCCACTGTGTACATACGTACGTACGTACGTACGTATAAAAAATTTAAGAATAAATGCTGTATATACATCGCACCATGCGATGTCCCTGTATATCGCAGTATATACATAGTTTGTCGGGGATGATGCTGAAACAAGATGATGCTGAAACGTGGGGTCTCAATTTAGAAATGTAAACCCTACTGAAATCCACCTATACTTTTTTATTATAAACACTAGCCCTAAACCCTAACTTAACTACAAAAAAAAAAGCTAAAAAAACATCCCCAAAAATTTTAAAATTTCATATTAAAATAAGTCAATGTTTCAGCATCATCCCCGACATAGTTTAATAATAGTTTAGGGTTGTTAGGGTAGGGCATAGTGTATAGCAAAATTTTGTAAGAAATTTTTTTTTTTACTAGAATATTAAAAGTTGTTTTATAAGCAAAATTTGGAGATATTATCAATTTTTCTAAAACAACTAATGTCAAATCTTCACGTTATATCGCAGATATATGTACAATTTATTTGGTAGGGTCATTATTTAGAGTGTATTCAGAGTTTATTCTATTTGATTCATAAAAAATTCACACTTTTTATACTACCCATATAATTTAACCCTTCTAACCTTAATAAAAAAGTGGTTCTCTTTTTATAAATCAAAAAGAATAGACTCTGTTTTAAAAATAACAATAGATTTTGTTTTATTTTTTTAGCAATAAAAATTATCAACAGTTGTTATATATAATAAAATCAAATTTTATTATATTAATAAGTAAAATTGTTCAGAAAATCAAAAAATATATATTAATATATTTGTATATTTATGAATATCAAACCCAAATTTAAATTATATATATATATACAGTACGGAATAGCAAAAAAAACAATTTTTTTGAAAGCGCCAAATTTTAAAACTACATATTCAATTATAATTGGTCAATCTTTATATAATTTATTTTGAATGGCTATTAAGTTTATTAAGTTATATTGATAATTTTTTTATACATTAAATGTCAAATTTTTAGACACAAAATCTAAAATATTATATAACCTTTTAATATTATTAATCAATAGAACCCTATTCTAAAAGAATTTTACTTGAATTATATATAATAATTTTTTTGTGTATATGGGTTTCTTTTTTTTTAATAATGAGCATAACTAATCAAATCGCTAGACGTGACTAGAGTTAATATGATTGGTTAATTTCTTTGCGCCAAATTTCTGTCTTACTATTAAAATTACCAAATTTGCCCTCTTATAACTTTTGTAAAAAGCAAGATATTAAAAATCTGTCTTAAAGATTTGTAGTTTAGTTTAAAAATAATAAATCTGTAAAAGGGATTTTTAAAATAATTATTTGTTATAAAGTTATTAGACATTAAAAAATTGGATGTTTTTTGCTATTCTGTACTGTATATATATGATAAGAAATCTGCAAATACCTATACTAAGTATATTAAACACCATATTTAATATTAATGCCTGCAAAATTATTTGTGATCTAAAATAGCCACACCAAATATCTGAAGTAGCACCTTACCAACATTAAGCTCCTAAACTTAAATCAAATACATGTTTAAATTTGTTACTTCAAGGTAGCCACTTCAAGTACAACACACATGTACATGTATAAATATATATATTTTTTTAAAAAAAAAGATATATCAAGCATAAAATTTTATATAATTTTATCATTCAAATTTGAACATTTAAGATGACAATTTAAGGGATTACAAATAGACCAATGCATTAAATGCATATGAAGTCAAGAAATAGCATATCTTGCCTGATGTATTGTATATGACCTTATTATTAGTGTATTTTAAATAATACAAATAATATGTCAGTTATTAAATGAGAATTATAATATAAATTTAATCAGCTTCTTCTTCAGTAAATTCGCTGTCATTGTCACCAAATATATCATCATATTCATTCAATTCATCGAGTTCGTATAAATTTCCTTCTTCGTCTTGCATTAATTCACCTGTAGTGACAAATACCAGGTAGTTACGTAAGTAAAAAGGATATAGTTCAAGTGTGTGTGCAAATTACCTTCAACTTGGTCTTTTACACCTTGTAAATCACGCATCAACTCTTCGACCTAAGTTCATAAACTTTATTAAGAAAATTCAAGGTGATTTATTTATATTAATTAGGCATTTAGATTGTTTACCCTGTTTGCAGAAGGGTCACCTTCTTCTTCCTCCTCTTCAACTCCATCATCATTTTCCGAACAATTTTCATGCAGCAGATCTTCAAATTCTTTATCATCAATGACCGTACCTTCAAGCAATGCCTTAAATTTTTTTCTCATTATCTTACGCATTTTCTGCACCACACTTCTTTTATAATGACCATCTCGCTCCTTACGATGGCCATATCAAAAAATAATAATGTTTATATACTTATGATAATTAAGAATAAATAAATAAGTCTACTAACGGTACAAGTATCCTGTACGGAATCAGGAGAATCGATAAGACTTCTCATTAACGAGTCTGTTATATCACAAAGTTGAAAAATCGCAATATCTCGCTCTGCGGTTTTACCATCAAAAATATGTGTTGTTCTAAAGTCGAAAAATTAAATACGTGAATACATCATCGGACATAACTATTGAATTATATATGATTTCGTACTTTATATAATTTTCTGGTAACAGTGACGATTCATCCATTTCAGTTGTTAAATCAGCCTGCACACGAAGTAAACGTTTTGCTCTTTCGAGTCGAACAGGTCGTCTATTATTTCGGATGTCTATAACTTGATAGCTATAAGAATTCATGTAAGATTGCTTGTGATGTTGGTCAGTGTAAAAAGTATATAGCGCACAGTGATTCACATACATTCTTGCTTCCTTATTTTTTCGTGGATCATATCCATAACGCATCCAACAATCCCGCCAAGGACCATTTAACATTAAATATGCAACCATTGGTAATAACCTGATAATAAACAAAAATAATTTTCATTTAATTATGTTATGATTTTCCTGAAGGATAAATAATGAATTTTAGAATATAATTATATACATTTTTATGGATCTCCGATCACAAATTGGCAAATTATTCATCAATGCCAGTCTTGTCCATATTGGTCTTTCTGCGAATAGCTTTAAACCCAAAAAATACGTTAAACATCAAAGTATTAATGAAAACCATTTTCTAATGATGCAATTACCTTTTGAATTCGCGCGATACTTTCCGGAAAAGGTTGATGCGCAGGTTTTATAGCATCCGACGGTGGCCCCTCTGGAATAGGTGACATTGTTAAGGTACATCATCAACCAGGCACGTGATAATATTTAATTTAAATAAGGATATTTTCTGAATCATAATAGATTGAAATGGCGACAAATTTCTTTCTACGACTTCTATTAATCAACTTAAGGGCAGGTGCCTAAAATAAATATATATATTAAATAGCGTTTTACTTGGTACAAACAAATATAATTCAAATTGTGGGTTCTTTCACCTCTCCTTCTCCTTTCTGAACCAGAACTTTAACCACTGCCATATTCTGTCGATAGCTATGGAATAAATATGTTAGCAAGTGAAAAATTCACAACGATTATATATTAATAACGCGCTCAAAGATTACCCATATTCCATAGGACACTCGATACGTGAAAAAGATGGTGGTGGTAAATTATCTTCTTCTCTCTTATCATTTAATAAAGATTCGAAATCCATAATTGTATCGACTGTTTGATTTATATTCCATTAAATGAGTTTGTAACTATATAATATTATAAATCAAACCATTTTGTTTGCTATAACTTACTATCAAAATTTTCTAGTGCCTTTCTATATCTTGGAACAGAATCATTTGGATTTGGGACACATTGATAATCTGCCATTCCTATATAATTTTAAAAGAATTCAACTTATTCAACTTATTGCAGTTATTATTTTATTTTATTTTATTTTCTCTACATGCCTCGAAAGCGACAGGTTTTACTGATAATCCCCATAATTTCAAAATTGAAGTCTTTGACAGATTCTTCATTATTGTCATCAGAATCGCGTCGCATATGATGGTTTTTAACTTTTTTACGTCGACGTGTTACTTTAAGTAAAAGATTCGCTGTTGGAATTATATCTCCATTAATAGGATGACAAAAAGGATTATCCGGTCTGAAACGAAGCTCTAATAAGTCTTCATTTACTGCCTAAAAAAAAAAAAAAGAAAAAATAATTATCAGTGAAATTGTAAATGAATTTATTGAAAGTTATAAATTAATATTCTACCTTTTTTAGTCCTTTTTGCCCTCCGAGAGTTTGCAACGCTTTATCTATATTTTTAACATTGCCAGGATATTCCACGACAAAACATTGTTGTGTTGGTAAAATTTTTTCAGGCGCGATTTTATAGTTCTGTGGAGTGGTTGTGTTAATATCTTCCATTGTATCGATATCTTTTGGGATGTTGACGGAAATTAAAAATACTGCGATGAGAAATTAAGACCGATTATATATTATAATCAGGTGTAACGTGAAAACACTTTTTTATAGAGATGTGACCCGTTGATCTACGATCCGCATATTCATTCAAAATCCGTAGATTTTGTGCGATCCATATAGTTTATGTGCAATTCGTTCAATTTGTATGTATGTTGTAGATCAACCGTTCAATCGGTTCAATCGGTTCAATCTAGTCAATCCAGTGAATCTGTTGAATATGCGGGTTGATGATCCTTCTTTCATACATTATTCATTTTAAACAAGGTTTCACTACAAAGAGCTGGGAGTTTAGGTGATTAAGGAACATGACCACCCAGGTGGTCAACCCGCGGGTCACCCGTGGGTCAACTCACGGGTAGAGGCCTGCACGGGCCGGGCCGAAATTTAAATTTTTTAAAAACCTCTCAAAATAGCGGGCCGAACTTTCAAAAAACATAATAAATTTTATTTGGCGGGCCGAGCGGGCCGGCAAAAGTTCAAATTTTTAGGCCCATGCAGGGCCCTACTCACGGGTCATCCGCTGACAGAATTGCTAAATTATGGCCTAATGATAAATATTCCATTAGCATTTTTTCTCTATAGAAGGCATTCTAACAAGAATAGAAGCAGAGATTATATCCATATAAGAATCCGAAACATCCAAGCAGATAACTCTAATTAAGCTACATGAAGATTTATTACATATTTATATTTAATATGCGATTATAAATGTACTGTATATTTATATTAATCTTAGTATTTAATTAAGGTATCACGTTCATAAATATTTACATATAATTCGTTTTATTTGCATTAATTTGGTGTATGAGCATAAAGAACATTTACAAACCTAAGCCTTCAAAATAAGATATTCAAGTCTATGTATAGTTTATTGTATTCGCGATAATTTAGTGGATGAGTATAAGAACATATATTTAATCTAAATATTCAAAATAATTTTATTACTATTCATAGATTGTGAATATGATGAGTATTAAGCTATCCAATTTCAATATTTACCACTTAATTTCATTTTATTCGCATTAATTAGTGCATGAGCGTAAAGAACATATTAATCTAAGTATTCACATTCATAAATATTTACTACTTAATTTTATCATTCGCATTAATTTAGCACGGCAGTACAAAGAATAATTGTTAGTCTAAGTATTTAAATAAGCTATTCAACCTCATGAATATTCACAATTTACTCGTGTTAATTAGTCGTTGAGTATAAAAATTATATTTAAGTGTCGCATAAATAAAAATCTACTTCAACTAATTGCTATGTAGTATAAATAATTCGGATTACAGAGAATGTGCACATCGTAATGAAGTATAGCATCAGTTATGCGTCCCGGACATAGCAATGGAAGATGGATAAGTAAAATAAAGGTTGACGATTATGAAAGGATCTCAGAACTTACAGTTGTGAACGTATCACAGTCCTTTCTTAATTGACTCGGGCATCTTTCCATAACACGTTTTAATCATTTTATAGTTTTTGATCTTTTTCTCGACTCATAATAATTTCATCCAATAAACTAAGTTTGAAGTGTTTGATTCTATATTTATTGCAACTTGGTTGTATGTGTAGTATTTCTTTTGTATCCGCCGAGCGAATAAAATGAAATTGAATAGTAAAACATTTATGAACTTGAATAGATTATTTAAATCGTAAATTATTTTAAATACTTAGTTTCCTAAATCTTTATACTCACGTGCGCAAGTAAAATAAAATTAAACAGTAATACTTTATGAACATAAAATAATCTATTTTAAAGACTTAGGTCAATAGTGTCCTTTATATTCACAGGTTAAATTAATATGAGTCAACCAATTTTGAGTAAGATAAATTATCGCCAACAAAATGTAACAACTACCTGCTTAGTAATATATTTGCTCTCATTTTTTTCTACATCAATTCCGCAATAGCAGTAATAGCAGTTTTAACAATTCCTGTAGAATTAACTGTCTCAGCTGTTTTAGATAATGATTATCTATTTTTAACCTTAATAACTTCTTCCATTTGAAAGTTAGAATGAATTTTTTTTACGCATGTACTCACATGCTACTCGGGTGACCCGCTGGTTGACCTCGGTGGAGATTTTTTAGATGGGCCAGATCACTAATATAAAAATTACTTTTATTGATTTGATAATGATTAAATTTTAAGTCAATCTTGAATCAACATATTAAGTGAAATTTGAATTCTCTACCAAATTGAATTCCGTTGCAACACAAGTTGATTCGGAATCCACAAAGATTCGATCTCGACGTATGTACAACATGGCAGTATTTGGTTAAGCATACGAATCTACCAAAACAGGTTAAAAGTTAAGAGGGATACTTAACTTACGTCAGATTTTTTTATGGTTTTATTACTCTGACGATTTTGTTATATTTGTTTTGTCTCTCATTTCCTGGGCATAATTATTACTACGAAGAACATAAACGGGTATTGTCCCTTCGGCCATCGAGCAAACTACGCAGAAGTCATAGTATCGTGTTACATTTGTCTCTTCTTCTTTTTCTTTTTTTTTTTTTAAACCTCACTATTCGGTTTGACTGTCATCCCGACAAGTCATTCATTTTCGGTGTGGCTGTCGTCACAACAGGCCACATTATCTATTTTACTTTGACTGTCGTCCCGACAGGTCATTCCTTACGGTGTGGCTATCATCACGACAGGCCACATTATCAGTTTCTATTATGATTACGAGGAATCAGAATAATGAGCAATCATGCAACTATTTTGCTGCCGTCCCAGCAGGAGATTTTAGTTTCCTGTTACCAGACTTTGGGGAAGGGTGGGAGGGTCGATGTAACCAGAACGAAAGTCGGGTTCGCAGAGAAGACAAAGTTAAGTCTCAACATTTTCATTTACTTACTAATATATCAATCCATTGTCTCAATATTTCATCATACTTACATCATTAACCGCACTACTCGTACTTACATCATTTATCGCATTGTTAAATACCTTGTTCTCACGATCAATCGATCGAGCGATCGAACATGTGACAGCAATCGGACCTGTCACATGTTCTATCGATGGTAGGAGATTCGAGACAAAAGCTACCTCGATACTTCGTATCGAGCAGCTATTAAAGACATTCTGTTCGACTAGCGAAAAAAATTTTTTGAGCGGTTAGCAGCTCATCTCGCTAATCTATTCGCGCTCTGCTCATATGCTCTTAGCGTTCTGCGCTATAATGAAACTTATTCAAAAATAACTTAGAGATTTATTGTGACAGATTATAATGAAATTCAGATTAAAATGAAATTATAGTGTAAAATCTTGAAAAATTAATTTTTTTGGAGTGCATTTTTTAGGGTTAGGGGTTAGGGTTAGAGGTTAGTTTTAGAGTAAAATATATTAAACAAGCATAAGTGGGTTTTAGAAGGTTAGAAGGTTGAATAGAAAATATAGATTTTAAATTATGATCTGCGACATTTATTAATTACACATATATGATTAAAAAGGAAATTACTCTTGCACAAATTGCAAACGATTTCTCTTAAGCGCTAAAAATAATGTTTTCTTATTTGTTTACTTGTTTGTTAAACAATAAACTAATGAAATTTGAATTGTGCCAATGTTTCATCTTTTACTTTTATTAAAAATGTCTGCTCGTGTTAATAACGATGCTGAAGTTTTAACAAAAGTATCTGATAAAACATCTAATAAAAAAGCAAAAGTCGAAGATATCCGTGGTGGTAGTAATATCAGAAGTTGGATTTGGTTATACTTTGATTCTGTGTCTATTAATAATGAGAAATATGCGGTTTGTAAAGTTGAAACAGTAAAAGGAAAAAAGTGTGGTGAAAAATACAAAAATTCAACTAGTAATTGTTCTAGACACCTTTCAAATGTTCATGGGATAACCGAAAACCAGGTTAAAAATAAAAATGATACAGAGTTGATTATACCTCATGATGAGTCACGTCAACTTCAATTATGTCAATACCTTGCAGATTGGATCATAACAGATTCCCAACCACTAACCGTTCTTGAAAATTCAGCTTTTAAAAATTTTATAAACGAGTTAGATCCGAGATTTAAAATTCCATGTATTAAATCTATAAAGAAACTTGTACATATTGCTTATAACAATTCTTTAAAATTAATCATGGAAAAAGTAAAAAATGACTCAACTACTGTGTCTTTAACTTGTGATCTTTGGACTGGAAAAAATAGACAGGGTTTTCTAGGCATTACATGTTCTTACCTTGATTATAAATTTCAATTTCATGAAATTACGCTTTCCATTGAGTATATCCGTCATCCTCATACCGCAGAAAACATTAGTGATGTCATTCTTTCGTTGTTGGATGAGTGGGAATTACGTAATAAGGTTTTCACGGTTACCACTGATAACGGAAGAAATATGCAAAAAGCTGTCAAAGAATTGAAATATTCTGCAGAAAGCATAACATGGCAACCATGCGCGGCACATACTCTTCAATTAGTTATAGGAAAAGGATTGGAGCCAGTTAAGATCTTGATTGGCCGTACCAAACGCTTGATTGATTTCTTTTTAAGGCCAAAGCAATCTGAGCATTTGGAAGACATACAAAATAGATATGCAAGATCAAACGAGGTTTACAAGTTTTATTATTTCTTTTTTATTACTTTACTGTTTTACTAAATATTTTATTTTTACATTTTTAAGGAACAATCTATCGTATGTCTATTTTGATTTTTTATATTCCTAATATAAATTACTAACTACTATCATTTTAGAATGCTAAGAAGACTTCGACATATTTGAGACATGTAATTGCAGACGTTCCAACTCGCTGGAACTCCAGTTATTTAGCGTGGTGCCGTCTTTTGGAGTTGGAAAAATACATTCGCGTATTAGAAGTTGAATTAGCAAAAGATGCAAATCTTGATAAAGATTCCAAGTATCTGACCAAAATAATGTTGACAAAAGATGAATGGGACTTGCTCCGTAATTTGATTCCAGTTCTGGGCCTCTTCGAAGAAGCGACTAGATACCTTGGTGGTAGCAAATATGTTACTTATAGCACGATGAATCCTATAATGATACATATCATTGACATGCTCAAACTCGTATCAATATCACCAGAGGAAATAAATGTCGAAAACATCAAAGATATTTTTGCGGAGCTTGAAATTTGTGTTGATAATAACGATACACATAAAAAGATAAATTTGGATAAACCTATGCAAACATCTGGTGTTTTGGAAAAAGTAAAGGAAACCTTGTATCGTGCCATGCGTTTTTACTGGAAAAAAGATAATATCGAATCCTATTTACCTTCCATCCTCGATCCCCGCGTTAAAAAATTTGATTTTGCTTCAGATAAAATAAAACAGGTTCAGGATCTGTTAAGAGCCAGATATCAAGATGCGAAAGATAGGTCAACAACCTCAACACCTACCACTAACACTTTGTCACCCGCTTCCTACTTTCATAACGCTACTGTTTCTTCTTTTTACAAGCCAACGCTTTTGAACATCTTTAACAATCCATCACCCCTTAATTTACAGAGCGAGCTAGACGAGTACCTTGCGGTTCCACAGATACCTTTTGATTCCGATCCCTTCATGTGGTGGAACGTGAATAAGGATCGGTTTCCAGTCATAAGCAGGTTAGCTCGTACGTACCTCGCAGTTTCGGCGACATCCACACCCTCCGAAAGGTTATTCTCAGATGGTGGTAACATGATGGGACCTAAAAGGACGCGCATGAACCCCGAATTCTTTAAACGTTTGATGTTTTTAAAACGTAATCACAACTTTTTAGATAGCATTCACCCTTAAACGATTTATTTTTTTATTGTTTTTTTACATATTTGCATTGAGAAAAGTTTTTTCATTCGTTCTCGAGAATTGTTTTTTTCTTAATATCAATCATTCAAAATAATATTATATGATACAGTATATATCATTTATATCATTTATATCATTTATATCTTTATTAAATAAAGCTTATATATTTTTAAATATTAAAAACCGTATATGAAATATAAATACTTAATTTTTAAAATTATAACTTAATTGAAATACATAATCTAAACTAACGTTTACAAAAAGAAATTTTGCATTTAAGATTTTGAGTTGAAAAGGTTTAAGACCGGTTCCGTATCATTCATTTTTTGACGAACCAAACGTAATGCCTTATTCCTAGGGATGGTAAAGTTCCTAGGTCCAGAACCTAAGAACCTGGTTTTAGAACCTGGTTCTTAAAAACCAGGTTCCAATTTTGGAACCTAGGTTCTTAGGTTCATGATAGGTTTTTAGGTTCATGGTAGGCTCTTAGGTTCTTAGATTTATAATAGATTTTAGGTTCTTAGGTTCGAACCAGGTTCAGAACCAGGTTTTGGAACTTTTTAAAAACCAGGTTCTTAGGTTTTTGAAATGGAACCTAAACCAAAAACTGAACCTAACCATCCCTACTACCAATAGATATTCACTGGATTTAATATAAAAATGGAATCCAATAGATTTCGGGTCACATCACTGATGTCAATGCTACAAATTCTGTTCACCGAGATTTACAGATATAGCAATTTCTAATTCAAGACTTTTAATACGAATCAAGAAAATAAAAACTATGTTTCTTTAGAGGCTTTATTTGGCAAACAATTTACACAAGCATCTGGCATATGTATTTGGACTTATTATGTCAGAGGTTCAAAGTCTTAATGCATTATCTTTTATTCCTTTTCTCAGGAGTGTTATCCGGAATCGATATCCAATTGGATACGCAACTAGGACCACTTTTAGTAATTGCATCTTCTTCACACATTTTTTCTTTCACAGATTGTCGTTTAGTGAGTAATGTCTATAATAATAAAAATCATCAAATAAGTAATAGCAAATGAAATGCTTTTGTATGTTTAAAATATACCTCTAAGCACAAGCCAATCTTCGCGATCCTTACAAGTAACCACCGCTCTGTATATGATGTTGGAATTTTGCATTTAAATATCTCATATATTCTATAAGTCTTTGCCATAACAAGATCCGTGAGATATATAGATATTTGGCATTCTAATAAAAAAGTAAAAGTTAGATAAGTTTTATTAAACTATTTTTATAAAATATAAGACACCTACTATATCCTTGAATGCTAATGGCTTTAAGTTTTTTTGCTGTCATCACTGATGAATTGCTATATTGAACAAAATGTTGATTTAAGTCATCCACGCTATTTCGTGCTAGTTTAATCATGTCCTCTAGATAATGCTTTATATCATATTCGGTTGGACCGTAAGATTGTTCATATATTATTGTTGTATTCTGATCCTGATATAGAACTCCGTCATTTTTACACCCTCTTCGAATATTTGCTAAATTTTGACTCGTATTCATAATATTGCAGACATTGCAGACCCTATCTTTGTGCGCTTCATTAATTATTTCTCCGCTAAATAAAATAAAACAAAATCAATATATCAATTTATATTAAAATATCTAGATTAAAGACATAAGTTATATTTCTTACAAGGATACACCTGATGTCAAATTTTTAAAAAACATTGAAAACAAGTCAAGCATCCGATACACCGTCTGGCTAGACCAGGTCTTTTCATCCCCATTTATCTGAAGACCTCCATAATAATAATAATAAATAAAATGCCTGCAGATTTCACTTGTCCATAATAGAAGAGGTTGTGCATCATTACTGAGAGGTTCTTTTACTTTTGTCAATATACTATCGATATTTCCGGCAAGTAGATTTTTTAAATAATCTTCGATATATTCAGGGAGATTTATTTCAATGGCGGTATCACGAGCTATTGACTCAAACAAGTCTTCCGCATCTGCTTGAGATAATGATCTGAATGGCTCACACAATATATAAATGTTGCGTCGTCTCATGTCATTAAAAAGTTCTTTGATTTTGCTTTGTCTTATTTCACTCGCACCCTAATATAGCATATAATAGATACCCACTTATAGTAAATAAAACTGAAAAGAAATATTGTCTAACGACATTTCACATTTAATATACCCCAGCTTCTTTGATAGATGATGTTTCTAATTGCTCTTGTACATTTTCATCAATGGTTACTTTGTTCTAAGCACAAAACATATTAGTGACCTATTGTACTTAAAACAATGTTCGTTATCTTACTTCAAGAATCGTAGCTTCTTCACTGTTTCCATCTTGAGAGCGATTTCTAATATTCTGTGTTGCAGAACTTCTGGTTAAATTGTTCTTTTTTGGTGAACTCCATTCCTTAAAAAAAATAGAGTTAGTTAGAAAAGAGTTTT